CTTCCCCTGGGGTGGGAGGGGTGGGTTGTGTAGGCCGTAAGTTGGATAACTCTTTGGGTTAATTACGTCACCTTCGTTAAATAAAGAATATTGTATTCTACTCTTGATTGTTAAACAAATTCTCTTTATCAGCATTGTGGGAAATGTATAGAGACTATTATGGGGAATATGCAAACTGGTTTTGGGGTGTAAAGGTTAATGATTTTATTTTCAGGTTTGTTCCACGGCAGCTATCCTGGTATGGTGCATTTCTTGTGAAAGCTTTCCCTCTGGACATGAGTCAGTACAGCAGGCTGTTTTGCTCCACACGGATACCAGAGTTGAAAAAAGACAAACTGGCCACATTTGAGACTGCAAGACATATTGCTGTCATGAGAAAAGGAAACTTTTACATATTTGACACAATCACAACAGATGGTGAGATCAGTAATATCGATGATTAATTTTATCTCAGTAAAAGAAATCTCTCTTCAAGACGGTGACTAAGATAAGAATCTGTTACAAGGAAAATTAATCCTTACAGCAAGGAAATATAGGTGACAATGAGTTCACACTAAAAACTGTCCTCGGATGTGACTCACCTTATCTTTGAAATCACAAATTCAAATGTTCTCTTTCAAAGGCATCTAGTTGACTGTCGGGGGTTCACCTGCATATATATTTATTGGCTGAAACAACAGCTTATGGATAGATCAATAAAATAACTGCAAATGGCACATTCCTGAAGTAATTTCTGTGTAGTTGAAGATTTCATGGTCTTCTTGTTAATTGGTTTCTTCTTTGATTGGTTTCATATCAATATAATAAGACCTCTCTTACTGACGGTTTTTCAATGCTGCGACTAGTTCTATTTGTAGTCATGTATTATTTCTGTTACTTTCCTTCTTTTTAGGTAACATAGTCCCAACTGCTACTATATATCAAAATCTGAAGTACATCATTGAAGACCCCACCCCTCCCCCTCACTTCCCCGTCGCTGCTCTGACGTCAGAAAACCGTGACACTTGGGCGAGCATGCGCCATGCTTTGGAAGCCATTCCAGGCAATGAAGAGGTTCTCAAGTTGATTGACAGCGCTGTGTTTGTTCTTTGTCTGGATGATCATGACGTAAGCAGTATTGCGGATGTTACGCGAACGTTTCTTCATGGTGATGGACGAAACAGGTAAAGAGCTTTGAAAGCTTCCCTGTAGTGGCCCTCTTCCCAGCTGTTCTTTGGGATGTCACACAGCATTCTTTCGGTGGAGGGGGGGGGAGGGAGTTAGTCTTGAAGTCGTGACATCCCACAGAACAACTGCGGAGGAGATAGTCTTTATGTGAGTTCAAGAAACTTGGCGAGCTCGATTTCCAAGAACTCTCTTCGCCATTCTTTCGTTTTAGGAAATCACTATATTTGCATGTCAGAAAGGTGTCCATGCCGTTTAACAAGATGTGGTGCGACAGACGATATTGTCCGTAAACGGGCGGAAATGTCCGAAAACGTACGGAAGCGTCTGAAATTGGACAATTGGGAATCTTTTTTTCCATTTTTTTTTTCTTTTCGTGTTCTATTAATTTGTTCCATTCCTTGATCTGCGATGACCAATAAGCTGTGACAATTTTTCAGATAGAATTAATCAGTGTAGTAAATAGTGGAAACCTCGTATCTAAGCATTTTATAGCCCGTCATCCTTGAACTTTGTCAGGTAAATATTTTCTGTGACTTTGATCTCTCAGATGGTTCGACAAATCATTCCAGCTGATCATTTGCAAAGATGGAAAAGCAGCAGTGCATTTTGAACATGCCTGGGGCGATGGAGTGGCTGTGTTGCGTTTCTTTAATGAGGTAAACATACACGATGCTACAGTTAACGTGATACTACTTTAATGAGTTTTTAACCTCACAGGAAAGAAACATGAGCATTTTTCCGTTGTTGACACGTATACCACTATTTTTCCGCGTTTGGCATCCGCGTCACTTTTTCCCGCGTTTGACATCCCTGTCATATTTTCCCGCGTTTGGCATCGGGCATCGATTTTTCACGCATTAGGAATGCAGACTCTGCATTCCTTTTTCTTGCCCTTGCAGATAATATTTTTTACCTCTATCTCGAATTCAGAAGTGAACATTCATAGATATCAACGTCTTTGTGTTTTTCCTTTCACAGGTCTATAAAGACACTACGGCTCGCCCGGCCTGCACCCCGGTTACTGCCCAAAACTTCAACGCGGAAACGACCGTGAGAAAATTGGAATTGAAATTAAACCCTGAAATTGAGAGGGGAATAAACGCAGCTAAAGAGACATTCGACAAAACTGTGAACGGGTTAGACATTGCCGAGCTTCAGGTCCATACATATGGAAAAGATTATATAAAGAGCAAGAAACTCAGCCCTGATGCAATCATGCAGTTGGCTTTTCAGGTGAGAAAACACAGTTTTCTGTCGTTTTCTTGCTTTTTATATCATTGTCACTAGTTTCCTTAGCCCTTTCACTTCTAAGATCTCATCAGTAATTCTCCTCACTGTCTGCTTCGCAATTCTTATAATGTTAGTTTGAAGAATTTGGGCTTGGATCAACTAATAATCTCCTAACTGATATACTTCTTGATTTCCATCATTTATCTGCTTGATATTGTAAAGAGAAATTCTGTCTTGGTCACTAATGGAAGTTCCAGGGTTAATCTCGCTCAAATATTTCCATGCTAACGTAATCATGAGTGTCATTGCTTTCGGAACTTCCCCATTTACAAAAAGCTTAAACATGTATTAACCCTTTACACCCCAACATGATGTACTCCATAATTTTCTAAGGCGCCGACAAGGAAAATTTGTTCAACAATCGAGAGCTTCTTTTGATGGTGACCGTTTCCTGTAATTCTTTTGACCTTAATGTTTGACTCAGGGGTGATGAGGTAAGAAGAAATTAGATGCCAGTCACTCTAAGGGGTTAAAGGGTCAAAGCTGCTTTGTTGAACACGGTTTAAATTTCTCTTCTTCATAGAATTAAATTAAACCGATGTTTGTCGAATTCAAATTTAGTGCTTTTCAACGCAACTCAAAAATTACTTGAATCCTAATAAAAATTCAGTTTTTCAGATATCTTCACATGATTTTCGTTCAGTTAGACATAGTTTAAGACATGTTTTGGTGATATGAATGGGGTATAAGTGACAAATCGACTGCATGGCCTCTTGAGCGGATGGTTACCGTTAGGTAGTTGTAAGTGATGAGGATACTTTTCAAAGAAGTACGTAGAAACATGTCAGCACGCCTCTGCGACTAGTTTCGCAAGTAGCTGTATGTCTACCTCGTTAGGCTAAGTCGCTCTGCAGGTATTTATATTGGTGACTGTTTGCTGTTTATACAGTCAGCAACACGGCTTTGTTGCCGCGCAGTTGCAGTTGTATGCGAAGCTCATTTAAACTGAACTCAAGGTAACTGCAAGGGAATCCTTTAGTGTGGTGAATGCTGGAAATTTTTGTCCCTCCTCATTGCGTTACGATGTCAGTACCTACAATTTTTAGAGGTATTTTTGATTGAGCTGCGGTGTATTGAAATATATTTTTTGTATTCTCGTTTGTAACAGATGGCTTTCTTTCGTCAAAACGGTAAGTTTGTTGCTACTTATGAGTCCTGCAGCACAGCAGCTTTCAAGCACGGGCGAACAGAAACAATCAGGCCAGCGTCCAATGATACGGTAGCATGTGCAGAAGCATTTCAAAAATCGCACCGAGCAGGGGTTGAAGAAATGGTGGACAGAATCCGCCGAGCTGCTGATTGGCATTCAAAACTCACCAAAGAAGCTGCTATGGGTAAGTTACTTTGCTTTCGACCTGTCACACTTTCTCGTCACGCAATACAGTAATGTTACCCCGAGCATATTCTTTGAATTTTTTTCAAAGGACTTCGATATCATCACCGAAAATAAGTCCTATTCAGCAGCATAATCCAATGTCTGGACAAATTCACCCTGCGAATGCTTTACACGTCTGGACGCAAACTGTAAACTGTGTACTGTGCCTAATTCTGACAAAAACGACCTTATGTATTCTTCTGATTTTCTTGGTAGGTCAAGGTTTTGACCGTCATCTCTTCGCCTTGCGTACCCTGGCAGCGTCCACGGGTAAAGTCCCGGAAATATTCCAAGACCCGGCTTACAAACGAATCAATCACATCATTCTCTCTACTAGTACCTTATCTAGTCCTGCACTGATGCTTGGTGGGTTTGGTCCCGTGGTACAGGACGGATTTGGAGTGGGATACGGGATCCAAGATGATTGGCTGGGGTGTAACGTGACCAGCTATCCACCCCATAGAGATGTAGGAGGGTTTTTGGAATGTGTTCGACTCAGTTTAGAGGATATTTATAGCGTTCTGGAAGGAAAAAATTTCAAAGAATGATTGACCAACATTATGAAACATTAAAGTGCTCGTTTGTGTACAAAACCTCAGGCCCTGCTTCGAAAACCAGTTATTTCAGTTAGATACGATTGCAAAGGCTATATCCGAAGCCTTGTTGTAAAACTTGCTTCATGAATGAAAATTTAATCTGGTTGTATTAAACCGTAAGACAAGAGCGTTGATGATACCAGTGTTTGTTCGTGCTCATGTCATAATTTTGCCACACCTCTGTTCTACTGTCTATATTGATGTCTACACTTGGAAAGAAGCATTTGCAAATTATGCGTTAATCCGTAAACTACAATGAGTTCCAAATTTCCTCAACTTAACAATCAATGCATAATGATACGTCAACTTTAAACTACAGTTTGGATACGCTATTAGGTGTAGATTGTCGTGAGTAACATCAAGGTCTTTCTGTTAACTGATTTCGTTCCAAACAAAGATAATGAGTTTAACGTGAGAGCAATAGCTCAGGTCGCTGAATTTCTCATCTGCAGAACTCCTTTTATTACACCACTTGCGACNAACATAGCCGGCTCTCCCTTACTAACTGCCAGCGTTTGTCAACTGACTTTCGCTCAAGCTCTGGACATTTAAAGGTTTCATGTCCCTGCTCCTTACACACATGGCAAGCTGCATAACTTCTCCGATTTGTCTCACTTGCTAGTAGAGCGGCTGCTGAAAACACTTTCTCCCTGGTGTTCCTTGCCCCAGCTCCATCCTTGTCTCGTGCTCCACTTCCTCTAGCTGTCCCACCATTCTCACCAATCATACTAGCATTCCTTTTTCCGGCCTCCTTGGAAATCACTTGTTTATTCAGGAACTTGAAGAAAAGTTCAAGATCAACACTCTCTTCCTTTGTGTCAGTTAGTTCTAATTCCCATTTCTCGGATAACTCAGGTGGAAGTTTGGTTTCTAATATTGGAAGGAGGATACAAGAATGGGTCGTTGGCTTTTCGCCTAGGGCCTCCAGTGCTCTAATCCGATTCTTTAGCGTGTCATGGAGATCTCGCAAAAACTCTACCCCTTCGTTTGACCTTGGTAACTGGATAATTGACTTGACTAGAGATGAAATAATTATTCTTTTCCTACCAAAGCGATGTTTCAGAGCATCAACAGCATGCTGATAATTAGCACTAGTGACTTCAAATCCCTCGATTGTGTGATAAGCAATCCCTTCAAGTACTGAACGCAGGTAGGTGAATTTTTGAACAGAAGGCACATTGTCATTATCATGAATAGCAACCTCGAATTGGTCCCAAAAGTTTTGAAATTTTAAAACATCTCCATCAAATTTGGGTAACTCAAGTTTTGGTAATTTTAAATGTGACTGTTTGTGCTCCGCTGAACTCGAAGTAGTTTGTTCGTCTGCTTTGGAAATTGCTTGTCTAGATATATACTCTTGAGCTATGTCTAAAGCATTATCAATCACTCGTTGATAGTCAATCCACTTTTGAGCTTCTTCAGCAACTTCATCATCAGAAATAAGAGCAATAATTTCCTCTCTTACCTTACTACAACTCTCCATGTAACCATTCAACTTTTGAACACGATTTTCCATTCTTATGATGTTGTTGCTGGGACTTTTGCTTGTCTCAAGTATTACTTGTATCACAGCATTAATGTCCATCTTAAGGATCATTTCTTTCCTTCTTAACAACTGAAAATTACTTAACTGATGATTGGCAGACTGTGACGACGAGAGTTGACTAGTTGATGCTGCAGGCACGTAGTCAGCTGGCAAGGCTTGTTTAGAGCCTATATGAGTCGATTCCTCACTTTCGTTTTGCAAAGATGGAGGATTAGATTCTTCTTGCTTTATAGCAACTATAAGTCGAGCCATGAGAGCTGGTTTCTTTCCTTTTGCCGGTAATCCTCTCCTTTGTAACTCAGCTTTGACTAAGGAAAGAGACATTTCACTCACAATTTCCTCCGCTGTCGATGCACAGTTGTCTGCCATATTCAAAACTGTAATCGTTTCTCTCGATGTTTACTTTTCTGCTCAGTGCTTTGCTTCCCCAAAGGTTTCTCAAATCCGGCTTCGAAGGACCATAATGTTCTGTTCAGACTACTAAAATAACTTCAAGTGAAAACCACATGTATTTTTATATACCATAATAGTAACACAACAAAATCTCCTCAGTAGGGTGGTCTCGTCAAAAGTCCAGTCTCACTGGGGGGCGTGAGATCCTCCCACTGCGGGTCCGGGCCCGAACAGTTGTAAGGGATAAGGATACTTCTTAAAGTAGCTCGTAGAAACATGTCAGCACGCCTTCGCGGCTACTTTTGCAAGTAGCTGCATGTCTACCTCGTTAGGTTAAGTCGCTCTGCAGTTATCTGAATTCGTGCCTGTTTGTTGTTCATACCGTCAGCAACACGGCTTTGTTGCTGCACAGTTGCAGTTGTTGGCTAAGCTCATTTTAAATTGGAACTCAAGGTAACTGCAAGGAAATCCTTTAGTGTGGTGAGTGCTGGACATTTGTGCTCCTCATTGCGTAACGATGTCAATACCCACAATTTTCCTGAGGTATTTAATGATTGAGTGCGGTGTATTGAAATAATTGTTTTCTTGATTGTAACAGATGGCTTTTTTTCGTCAACACGGCAAGTTTGTTGCTACTTATGAGTCCTGCAGCACAGCAGCTTTCAAGCACGGACGAACAGAAACAATCAGGCCAGCATCCAATGCTACGGTAGCATGTGCAGAAGCGTTTCAAAAGTCGCACCGAGCGGGAGTAGAGGAAATGGTGGACAGAATTCGCCGAGCTGCTGATTGGCATTCAAAACTCACCAAAGAGGCTGCCATGGGTAAGTTACTTTGCTTTCAAACTGTCACGCTTTCTTTTCACGCAAGACAGCTATGTCATTTCAATCATATTCTTTAGTTTTGGCAATCGACTTCGATAAGCTAAATTATCATCAAAACCTTGTCCATTTTAGCAACGCACCTCAGTATCTAGAAAAATTGACCATGCGAACGCCTCACACTTCTTGGTGTAAACCGTATGCTGTGCGTTATTCTGACAAAAAACGATGTGTCGCAGAAGTAAACGACTCAATGTCACTTTTTTATTTTCTTGGTAGGTCAAGGTTTTGACCGTCATCTCTTCGCCCTACGTACCCTGGCCGAGTCCACGGGTAAAGTTCCGGATATATTCCAAGACTCCGCTTACAAACAAATCAATCACATCACTCTTTCTACTAGTACCTTGTCTAGTCCCGCACTGATGCTGGGCGGGTTTGGTCCCGTGGTACGGGACGGGTTTGGAGTGGGATACGGGATCCAAGATGATTGGCTGGGGTGTAATGTGACCAGCTATCCACCTGATAGGGATGTACGAGGGTTTTTGGAATGTGTTCGACTCAGTTTAGAGGATATTTATAGCGTTCTTGAAGGAAAAAATTTCAAAGAATGAGTGACCAAAATTATGAAACATTAAAATGTTTGTTTGTGTACAAAACCTCAGGCTCTGCTACGAAAACCAGTTATGTTATTTGGATACGATTATGAAGGCTATATCCTAAGTCATGTTGTAAAACTTCATGAATGAAATTTTAATCCGGTTGCATTAAACCACAAGAAGAGAGTGTTAGTGATACCAGTGTTTGGTCCTGCTTACGTCATAATTTTGCCACACCTCCCTTCTATTGTCTACATTGCTATGTACACTTGGAGAGTAATATTTGCAAATTATCCATTAATCCGTTAACTACAATTAGTTCCAAATTTCTTCAACCCAACTCAACAATCAATATATAATGATACTTCAACTTTAAACTCCAGTTTCGATATGCTATTAGGCGTAGAGTGTTGTGAGTAACATCAGAGTCTTCCTGTTAAATTAATGCATCATAAAAAAAAAAGGGAAAAGTAGTTTAACGTGATAGCGATAGCTCTCTTAACTAAATTGATCTTCTGCTGGATTCCTCCAATTACACCATTTGCGACAGGAAGTCAATGTGAGTAGATGCTTGGTTTCCTGTTTCGAGGTCCATCCCAACCACTTTCAATTCGGTCTCGAAATACAGTCGTAACTCTATGCTGCGGTTTGTGCCTTTTGATGTATCAGGACTTGCCACTGTAAAGTAGCCAGGTAGTTTTCTGACTCCCTCGTCTGTGATGTAGCGAACGTTTGGTGTACGAGAAGTGTAAAAGCTGAAACTGACTGCTGTTTGGGATCGCCTGACAGGATTGTATTTGAACGTTTTCTTGTACTGTCCTCGTTTGACTTTTTCATTTTCTTTGGCCAGAATGGAGAAAATGTCTTTACACATCGCTTCACCCTCGATCATTACCATTTTCCTGAAGTCGTGGTAATGTGGAATGAATTCTTGGTAGATTTCCGTACCGTAAGTCTCAGAAAGACATCGCTCTACCACGATTTCAGGTCGCTTTCCGAACATTACAGCGCCTTTCACCACTGCAGTTTGGGCGTCATTTGGGATGAGGATGCTGTATTTTCTGTTAAACACTTCTCGTATTCTGGCTTGTAGTAGTGGAGACTCAGAGAAACCACCAACGAGGAACAAAAGCTTGACTTCTCGCAGGTCTTTTTCCTTGAGAAGATCTTTTAAATGGTCAACAATGGAAGTGATTGCTGGTTCAAACAATCGTTTCATTGTTCTTGGCCCAAGACAGAGGTAGTCCTTCGAGATTTTAACTTCTTCATCGTCGTAATCTTTTCCCAAGTGTTTCTTAATGATTGCATTGTAGTTACCTTCACTTTCATGTCTCAAAAGGTTGATGAAGTTGGCTGGAAGTCTGATCCTCGTAATTTCTCCTGTCATGACGCGGTCTGAACGCTTCTTGACTTCGAAATCATTCATTAGCTCCAGCCAGTCTGATGGATGAGCTCGGCGGAATTCATTCATGAATATCTTTCCAAATATTTGATCCAGTTGATCTTGGAATTCCTTGTCGACTTTGGTGCCTCCAAACTCGCCACCAGTAGCATGGTAGATTTCATTAATGGTGTCACCGTCTTCAATTTCATGGGCAGTTATATCCATTGTTCCTCCTAAAATGTTACCAATTGAGAAATTTAGTTCACCGCTCGTGGCTAATCATAATGACGTTATCAGTAACGTAATCGGTGAGAATGAGGATAAGGACAGACTGATCTTTCCAGAAAATCAAGCCAAATATGGGGTTTTAAGACACAAGTTATACCAGTTTTTGTTGGTGTGCTGTAAATGACATCATAAATTTAAACTCAATTCTGTGGGAACTTTGGGGTGCCAAATACAGTTAGAATATCAAAGAAATCGGCAAAAGAGACTTGTAAAAGCAAGAATTTTGAGAATGGTTATGGACACCCAAACTTAGAGAAATCAGACGTTTTGTCTGGAAAATATCCTCTTACTATAATGTTTAAAAGTTCACAGATAAAATTCATATTACAAGGGAATTTTTCGGTCTGCAAAATTATTTTGAGCTTTCATGAAGTCTAAGCTTTAACGACAACGTTATGGCCTGGGGCAGCTGACTCTAGTAAGCCAAACTTGAAAACATGAATGCTCATTTGGTGGAAAGTGAGGCTCTTAGGCCAGAGCAAATTGCAGGTAAGCGAGTTAACTTAAATGATTCTGCTCAAGGAACGAATGTAAGTGGAGTGGTATTTCTAAGCAAGGACAAAATTGCTAATCATAAATTTTTACCTCCGTTGTCAATTACCAGGTACTGTGTCTTTGTAGGAACCAGAGTGTCCTTTACTATTTCGTCGCCTTTCTCTTCCACAAACTCTCTTAGTTTTCGTTGTCTGCAGTAAACTGCCGCCGCTTCTGGTTCTAGGGCGATAATCACTTGATCGGAGTTGATCGAAGAAGAAAGGCCCGCCTGATAGAGAGTGAAATTGTTATTTAAATATCATGTGACATTGTCGGTTCAAACTTTTTAATTCACTTAAGCATGCTCCAGGCCAAAGGGACAAAGTTGTTAAAAAAGTAGGAGTACAAAAGTTAGCTCTCAATACCTATAACTATAAATAGCAAAACTCATATTTAAAAATAATTATTTATTCACAGATCTCTTCTTTATCTAAATTTTTTGTTCTCGTTTTTAGGATCAAGTAAGTAAAATAGTGTTCAGTTTTCGGCGTATGAAGAAAATGAAATTGTACTAATTTGGGGTTTAGTCAATGAAAGTTCAAGCGCAAATTTTCATTATTGCTGATGTCGGCAGCATCAGTAAATAAAGACAACATATGTTTGATAAAGCTGCAATTTTACCCCAACAGCGCACGTTATCATCAGTTGAAAGACTGGTCCATGGTAGAATTAGCCCTTACTTTGAGAAGATTTATCTTAAACATATCTTTACCTATACAAAACATCACAGTTTTGAAAGTGATTCATCAACTTCTTGATTTGACTGAACAATGGAAACAAGCGATTGACGAAAGAAAGTGATTGGATTAGTCTCTTATGGACTTATCGAAGGTATTTGACAATCTACCACATATCAAACTATGATGTTTACGCAACAATCATGTAGTTGTAGAAAAGAAGACTGTAAAAAGTTTAAAAGATGTTCTATATTGTCTTCAACTTACCTCATAAGCTGCTTCTCGCATGAACTGCTTGGCTGATTGCTTCCATATTGCTGGGACAGTGACAACCCATCGTACCTCTTTAGCTGTGTACTCCACTCCGCTCTGTTTATGTATTCTCTCCAGAGCCTTGTCTTTCAGAAAAGCCAAAGCTTTTGAAAAGATGTCGAGGGCACGCATAGGTTTCCCGTTCCGGGCATGCAGGAGACTGTTTCTATTCAATGTTGCCTTAAAAGTAAAATCAAAAACAGTGAATTTGTCAATTGAACAACATGGCATTTAAGCGAGATTACTCATCGAATGAGGTAGCTTTAATAGGTGTGTCAATAACGGTACGATTCAACAGCTTATTGGTGAACTGAAAGTCTTTGGGTGAAAAGGTAAAGAAACCTTCTAGAAGAATAATGAAAACGTTAGGCTAGTTATAAACTCTCCTCAAAATTTCCAGAATTTATTGTCCATATTGTGCAACAAATACGTATATAAATCAGCCAAATCAACTAATTTTCCTTTGAACAGTTTTCGAGAGGCGCGTTCCTGAAAACAGTATATTTCTATTTACCTCACTACCGTGCAGCATCATTTTAAAACGATCAAAGCAGTAAAACTTCTTGTCCTTTGCATCCTCCAGTTCTGCATATTTCTCGGCAGCTTCAAAACCAAACTTAACGAATTTCTTGTACGGGTTCAGTAGTAAACATGTCGGAGTCTTGAGGGTAGAATAACCCTGTGCGCTCCCCCATTCTCTGTTCATGTAAATCTCCTCACTTCCGTCTCTGTGATTAAATGAGAAAGCAAATCCACTGAACGACGTTCCAAAGTCGATCGCAGCTACGACATCATATTTTTCCTGTCCAGGCTCACTTCCAAAGTTAGGAAGGCGACTGAAATGGGTACTCAGTGAAGTGAGGTAGTCTAAATCATGATGGCTGTGTGAATCGGCCATCAATCTTTCGTAATTTAAACTTGGGAAGGTCGAGGAAAGGTAGAATGAAACTTGAACGCGATCAATGAAGTATCGTCAGAGTGCATCTAGCAGCTGTCTCGGAGAAACTACTGAGGTTGTCTCAGTCTATTCGAAATTTCCTTTTATGGTAGGGTGTTACGAGAAAACATTACGTCATGGCTTTTCCGGGAAAGAGGAAGTATTGTTCTTTCACCTTTGTTTATTTTAACCGAAAATTCACGGTGTTGCTTTCAATGTATCTTCAGAGAAAATTCTTAAACTTATTTTTTGTAGTCGTTTAAAAGCTCCCTCAAAGCCCAATTTCATATACATGTTACAATACTTCGCTATTATAACATAATTTAACGCTGCAGCTCAAAACAACGGTTCAATGTTCATTTTTCGATTATGCTAAAAATATATTACGTACGTCACTGTTTTTCCGAGAAAGGATGCTCAAATTTGGTAATGCGCGTCTGTATGAGTTGTGAACCTCGCAGAATTTCCTGGAGATTTTGAAAAGGCGATTGCCATTCCTTTATGATAGTAAATGGGAGCAGTTTTTTCTCATTTCTCAGGAAAATTGACGTCGCAAATAGAATCTGACTCATTTGAAGCACCATCTGTCGTGGTAAAATCTATGGCAGAGGCTAATTATCCAAGAGATGCGCATACTGCAATCCAACATACTGGGAGACCTTGCTTTTCTCGAGAGGAAGTCAACAGATATTCAAACGCGCTTCATACATGCCACGAGTTTCTAACCAACAGCTTAAGTCTTGTTGAACGACAAAGATTACTAGAGACTGAGTTGGATACTTGTCACGACAGGTAGGGGTTTATTCCGTATTTAAAAGATTGGCTTCAGATGACCTCAACCCGTAAACATTTAATTGAACGGAATTTTCGCTCTTTTAGTAATGTTGGGTAAGTCTCAAAAATAATATAAGCGTGAGCAAGAGTAGTTCACTTTCGGAAAGGAGCAGGCAGTGTGATCATTTTCCCAGTGCCAACTTAATGTTTCAGTGTGTTCGTGGATAGCTTGTAGAAAGTATAATTGGTGTCGAAGGACAAATACCTCAGCGTCTTCGGGAGTTAACGATCCAAACCTCTTGATACACCTCTCCTTGAGTTCTTGAGCTGGTGCACCGAAGCTAAAAAGGGCAACATCCTTGCACGGTTTCAATTTAGATGTAGCCATGAATAAAGAAGACATTTGGATTCAAAACGTTTCTTGGTTGTCGATTTGCTATTGGTTTATGCGTCTCAAACTATAGAAGGCAACATCCCAGTACGGTTTCAATTTAGACGTAGCCATGAATATAGAAGATGCTTGGATTCAAAACGTTTCTTAGTTGTCGATTTGCTGTTGGTTAATGTTTCTCATTCACATCTTTTAAGGTTGCGACGTTTTACCGAAGACCACGCTCGCTTAAGCGAAAGTGTCAATGAGAACATCTCGAGTTCCAACCGACCATCTGCACTGGAAAGAAACTACGAACAGTTTTATGATCATGAGAGGATGGATGCAATCGACTACATCGAAAAATCACGAATAAAAAAGGAAGTCACCAAATGGAGTGAAATTGAGGACCAACGTGTCGCTTGTGTGGTTTTTGAGGTCAAGTTGTATTTACTGTCTTCTGAGATTCTCGTTTTCTTTCTTTTAGTTACTGCGTTCTATGAAATGATGTCCGATCAAAAGAAAGGGTATTGTGAAACTACTTATCTTTAATCTTCTTGCCGGTTCAGAAAACCTCAAATTCAAAATATCTTTGTATTTAATTTCATCGTTCATGATTTTAATTATTCGGTAATTAATCAAATTTTAGGAGGCGTTCAAGGCAGCTCAAACTTTAAAGGAAAGTTTCCTTGAGGGCATTTCGTGCATGATGAAGTCAGCACCGGCGATAGGAGCTCAGTACTCTGAAGGAAAGGTGAAAAATGTTATTGAATGAGTGTTTGTGCAGGATATTTGTAACAATTAAAAATTATCTGTCATGATTACAGAGATTTTAAAAGAAAGTGCTTGTCTTTAATATGATAGGTCTTGTAGGAGACGATGCAATACGAAAAGGTTTCCATGAAGAGCTAGGAAGCCTCTTCGTAACCATGCTAAGAAAGCTCTAGCATCGATGCAAAACCATTGTATTTTCTAAATCTCCAGATTGCATCTGCAGCCAGAGACAGCTTTACTAAAAGACAACAACCATTCAGATTTTAAGGCATCTTTAAAAGAAACTAATCAAAGTGCATGAAAATGAACGACAACTTTTGCAACTTTTAACAAACCAGCTCAAAACTGGATCAATAATATGTTTTTACATACCAGAAAGACTTTAAGTTAGTTAATAAACTGTGTGATTTCAAAATATATGTTTTAAAGGGGTAATAGAGCCTCGTGTCGTGTAATTTTGGCCTTAAGTAAGGGTTATCGGCCTGGAGGGAGGGGTTATGTGATTTATTCCCTTCTTGCGTTGCCCTCGGGCTGCGCCTTCGGGCAACGCACAAGGGGAATAAATCACATAGCCACGGGCTGAAGGCCGATAAATGGCTTATTTTTACATGTGCGAGGATTCCTCAAGGGATGCAAAAATACACTGAAGAAAATTGGCTCTATTGTTCATGTTTGTTCTGTTTTTTAACACTCCATGCTGAGATTCACAAGTTTCTCAGCTTTTTAATTATGTTAGTTTTTTAAAGTCGCATTTCGAATTAGTTGTTCGCCTTGTTCGAAGTGAATGCTAGGAACAGGCTAGCAATGTTGAGCGATTCAGAGTCAGAACTGTTTGTTACTCAAAGCAGTTTAATTGAGGTTTCGGAAAACAACTTTGAATCTTTATTTGCGGGTGCAGACAACGAGAAAGTGGTTGAAAATTTTAATTTACGCACCGCGGATCTTTAGGTCGACCTTTTTACAGATAAAGAAGATTCCGGCTGAGGGATCACTACTGTAACCGACAAGGAAATTCAGGCGAGGAATGAAGGAAGAATACCTCTCAGTTTAATTTCAGAAATTGTAGCGTCGTATTTAATATTCCTAAACAAACATTTGTAAATTTGTTCTTCGTGAACAGGTAATTTAAATGCGAGGGGATCATGTATTAATATGCAAGGGGAATAAGTCACTTATCCCCCTTGCATATTAATACATAATCCCCCGCATTTCAATTTGCTGTTCATTAGCCCCGCTCTTCCCTTCAAACAATCAAAGCCGCACCCAGCTTTTCAGACAATTGATTCGGGGTTTTTTTAATATATCCCCCCCCCCCTCGAAAAGAACGAAGGAATCCGGGCTGATGAAAAATAAGATAAGATATATTACAACGTTTAATTGTCAGTGTAAAAATGTCGATTTCCTATTTCGCGCAGAGTGATCCGGTAGTTTTCTCTGTCAAACGTGACCAGCGTCAACCAAGCTCTCTTGGGCAAAGTGATTTGAACAACTTGAAGGCAATCTTAAAAGAGACAGCAGAAAGTTGTGACATTGACGCAATCATCAAGGTAATTGAAAAAATTTAATTGAGACCCTACGAATAATAATAATAATAATAATAATAATAATAATAATCTTAAAAGAGACAGCAGAAAGTTGTGACATTGACGCAATCATCAAGGTAATTGAAAAAATTTAATTGAGACCCTACGAACAAACAGTTAACATCGGTAAATGGAAAAGGTTGCAAAAATGTTCAAGTTTTCTCATCGAGGAATTTAATGCTATATCTGCAAAACTACAAGAGCTGTGTGTCATGTCATATAATACATATTAATCTATTCTCTCCTTTCTTTCTTTCTTAAATAGAGAGTTTATGATTTTCTCTCTCATCGCCAAGAAAACGGAAGACTCTCAGATTACACAAAAGACTTCTTCCGTAAAAAAGAGATGGTAAGGTATTTGGAAAAGTGTTGCAGGTATGCATGGAAGATGGTCTGCCAGACTCCACCCTATTTGATTCAAGGAAATTCTGTTATACTTAAATCAGATGCTGTCTTCGATTCTGCCTACCATCAAGTCCCCAGGAAATATGGCGAGTATAATTCAGGACTCATTCGCATGGTTCTTTGGCCTGGTTTGTTTGAGGGATCGTCAGGTAGAGTTGTTCGAAAAACTGAAGTTGTTTTAAAGTGACAGTTCTTAACTAAAGGAAACTCTCTGGATTGATAGTAAAATTCCCCTGAGAGACTGGTAAGATTCTTCCCTTATATCAGTTACAACCTGGCTGTAGGTTAAAATGATGATGCGAATGAGGGATAGTTGTGTAATTGACCTAATAAACTTGTTTCCTGCAATTCTGCATCAAATTATCTGTTTTTTCGTGTCCAGCGTGTGTTTATCGAGCACGCGAATGACTTTAAAGAGCAACTTACGATCAAACCAATCTGCGAAGTCTTTTTGTCAACTCACCTGTTCAGAAGCCACTACTCTTCTGGCGAAAAACTAGAGTTGAGATACATCGCACAATTCGTGCAGCGATTTCAAATTTAAGCAGTTGCTTTGAGGGTTCTCAGATAATTTTCTTTTGCATATTATTGGATTTCCCAGTTTCGACCTAACTCTAATGTGCTCTTCTTCCTGCACTTTTAATACCATGGAACACAAAATTCAAAAGTTACCTAATCCTAGTGTCACCTTGCCATAAATGGATCGTTTAATTAGGGACTTTAGGCCTTCGGTCTTAATCATTATCATTCGATGATTATCATCAGAATTTATTTTGTAAGAAATATACAACTTTTTTTAGAGACATGTTTCGGCATTCTAATGCCATTTTCAATCAATGAGTAACTGAACGTGAGTAATATAACAGACAAGTAGATGAATAAAATATTTACAGTATGATGTAATACAAAAGCGGGTACTAATTACAGCGTGACAACAAACATGAAATTAAGGGTGTGAACTAAAATGATAGAAAAGTTTATAATGTTGTAATTGTTTGTTAAGTTCAGGTTTGATCTTATTTATATAAAAAGCTTCTTTGAGTTTTAAATCAATTGAGTTGTTGGCAGAATCCAGAATACTGAAGCAAGAAAGGGAGTATTTGTTCTTACAAGAAGGAGATGTGTTAAAATGCTTAAAAATAGGTGAGTTTTTATCGCTTTCCGTGTGCTCCTTTATCCTTGTAGAGAAGTGGCGACTAGTTTCGCCGATATAACGGGAATTACATCCCACACAAGAAAATTGATAAACTACCATTGATAAACTACCATGCATTTTAGAGCATCATATTTTAATCGTCATGTTTTGTATTTGTTTCTCATGATTATTTTTCGTTTTTGTAAACGAACAATTTTGACTTGAAGTAATAATAGTTAAGAGTCTTGTTGTCTTAGCTGCCGAATATTCATAATTTTGGAATTAGGGAAAGTTCGTTTCAGTTCTTATCACAAGTAGCTCAAGTTCGCATAAAGAGCCTCTGTAAATACGTAAATAGGTTGCATAGTAGACAAAGTATGAGGATTTGAGTGGGAATGAGCTGTCCCATTTATAGGCCAAAAACTTGAACGAATTTCGAATGAAAACTAAACTGACCTCGCTTCTGCGTTTTGTTTGTTTGTTTGTTTGTTTGTTTGTTTGTTTTTTTTCATTCTTGTGAGCTCTCCAGGCTAATTTTCAGTTGTTTGAAACTTTACAAAATCCCTGCTTTGATCTCGATATTTGTAGGACAAAGCGGGTAGCTGAAGGAATAGCTCCGAGTCCAAACTTGTAGAATCGCACGTTTTGGTATTCATCAATGGCCTCAACTTTGCTCAGCGCCCTCTGCAAGTTCTACACCAAGAACGCGTTAGGCTAATATACTTCTAATCTTCGGTGCAATTGCTTTAAAGCTACGTACGCATTCTACTGGCTGAAGGCAACAGCAGATTCTTTAATGCGTCTCACGGAGTTCAATGAGAGGTGTAGAGTTAAATTTTTGGAAGTGAAGAAACAGTCAAGGTCACTTCGATTCCCGCCGACACGCAATACCTGGTGATTAAAACTGAAAGTGCGTTAATGAATTCGAGTTATCATATGCATTTGCTTTCCTTGATACCTAAATTACCTTAATACAGTGACAAAGACCTTTTTTGTCACTACAGCTTTAGTTTTACCTTATCATATTATAGTATCACGAACTTTTCGTCCCATCTCTGAGAAGTTCCATAATTCCATTTTAATTCTCATTTCCTTGCGAAGGCGTCTACTCACGTAAAATTGTTTTTAAATATTCAAGACAAAGTATACTTCACATACCTCGAGAACACATTATATATGCAGGTGGAGCGATGGATGCTAGAGCCTATCAGACTTTAGGGGAGAATAAAATTTAGAAAATCTTTCCATTCATGGCTGAGACTATGGAAAAATCGAAGTTGGAAAAGAATTTCGAAATCGCACCGTGTAATGGTAGGAAAGGTAACGATGATTCTAGTCCCTGGCAACTTAACTAATCTGCTGAGTTATGAGAATGGTACAGACGACAATTGTGTAATTAGACCACATTAAAAAGAAGAGGAAATCAAAATTAGAGAGGGCTACCTTTGTCTGGGCTCCGAAATCGTCAAAAGCTTGTTTGAGCCAGCCATCGCCTCTTTCATCTGTCCGTTGAAGAAGTTGCTCACAGAAAACAACCTCAGAGGCATCAAGCATTTGTTGTTTTTTGGAGATTTATCGAAGATTCCTCTATTTCAGGCCGAGATTCGAAAAGATTTTGAGGATAAATTCAACATCCTCATCCCCAAACAAGCTGAGACCGTACAAGTAGTGCTTAAGCTGCCTCGTCCCCGGTCGCTCGCTCGCGATTATATTGGGGATATTCGAGTTAATTATTAAGAAAGGCGGGGGCGAAGCGAAAGGAGTGATGAGATGGGGAGACCCCTTGCGCCCCCCCCCCCCAAAAAAAAAAAAAAATATATATATATATATATTCGATCGCGAGCGACTGGGGACGAGGCAGTTTTTTCCGGCAAAGACTTGGGAAAGCCTGTGGGGGAGGCGGGTGCTTAAGTTAAGAGCGCGGTGATGATTGGAAAGGGACTGTAGGGTGTAGTAGAGCCGTGTCTCCCGATTCCGTATGGAACCAGAAAGTTTCATTAAGAGGTACAGAAAAGAAAATAATTTTATTTTCATTGGACGGAGTAAAAACATTAAAAAAGAACGTCTTCTGTATTTCGGCAAGGGAAATCATCATCTAAATACTATTAAGTTTGCATCTCTGATAGAATTGATCTTAACTAACAACTCAGCTATTTGGTATTTGAAACTCCTCTTTTAAGGCGTTCTTTGGCGAAACCGCTGATTTTACTAATATAACATACTCTTGGTTGTGCGAATTGAGAGAGAAAAACTCAGCATTAATTTAGGATCAATATTTCCACGCCGGCCTCAACTTAGCCGAGCGCTCCATCTAAGTCGTATACCAAATGAGCTTTTGCTCGCACTCTATATCTGCGGGGGGCGGGGGGGAGGGGGGCTAGTAAAAAAGGTAGCTTCTGGCTACCTATGGTTGACTGGCCTAAAGCAACATCAGACTTTAGGATTACATTAAGAGCCGCAGATTAAAGGTTCCTAAGATCATTTTCTAAAACGTAAGACGCCGAAAAATTAACGGGCGAGACCTCGTATGTGTAAGTTCAGTTAACGCGTACCACTGTCTACCTCCCTGCTGCTGGACTATAGGCAGAACGTATCATCCTTGAAGAGTGAAGAGACTGTATAGCTTAGAGTAAGAATCTTAAAAGGATTTTACCGAATATTTTTGTTAGATATTAATGATCACATTTAGGGGTTGTCCCATATTTTATTGAAGTAGAGGCTTAGGATGAAAAAAAAAAACTTTAAAAAATCCGAGTACTCCGTGAGATTTCAAACGTAACCCCAGCAAGATCTAATTTCTCAATCACACATTACAATCAAAATATTATTTCCTTTCACAGCCCTGTCGTTCGATTTAATGCCTTTTGGTATCTTGCGGGTCTCGGGTTCCCTTTTTTTTCTTGTGTGTTTGTATGTGTGTCTGTTTGTCTGTGTGTTGGTCCTTTATCCTTTTGTTGTCGGTATGCGATGTAAACTGGTACTTAAACTTTTAACTTGAACTTTATTTTTATTTAGACACGGTAAATCTATCAGATAAAATAATAATATTATTACAATCTATTATTACAATTACATTCTACTTTAATCTATATAAACATGATCTAAAATTTAGAAGTGAAATAGAAAAATAAAGAAATTCTGCTTTACATAGATGCCGT